GTCGTGTAAGTTTGGCATCGCATTCTGTCGGCAGTGGCGTACAAGTTGCCATGAAGCGTAACTGCTATAGACTCCGCCGGACGCATCCACCATTGAGCAACCGGCCAACGAGAGCAGGCGCTATGACAGCGACAAGACGACACACACACGACCTCAAGGTGCGCATTCTTCGGCGCCAACGTCCGCATTCTTGCGCTTGGCGAGTCGCGCGGCCTTCTCTTCGGGCGTCTCGTTGGCCCTCTGGGTGGCGCGTGCAGTCGCTTCGCCCGCGCGCATTACCTTGGCTTCCGCCTTTTTTTTGGGCAGGGGCGCTGGAGCGTGTGTTCTCGGCGTCGTTCTTGTGTTGTGCGAACGTTGGGAGTTGGGAGGCGGCAAGTGGCCGTTGCAGCAGATAGGCGCGGACCAATGCCACAGCGCTCGAGCGTGGGGCAGAGAAGACATGTGATTCGTTTTTGCTGTCGAATCAGACGACGCTAAGCTTCAACTTGGACAAAGTGTAACCGACGCGGCGCCAAGTTTGGATCATTGAATGCCAAGCCAAGATGCAGGCGACGACGTTGTCACATGCTCCGTGTGCCCAACGGCACGTGGTATTCTCAGCTATATTCTAACGATGTACGAGGCTGGTTCTAGCTTGCTACCCCCCAAGTCAATGCGAGGAGCTCCGAGGTGGTGAATTCAACCGGATTGGCGAGCGTCGGATCAGTTGATTGCAAAATGCCTCCTTGAAAGCTCAATTTCAAAGTCCAGTTGTGTTTCCCCAAATTTCTTTTCGTCGGCATCTTTCACAAAAGATCTTACGAATAGCTGCGACATCACGCACGAGCCCGATGGAGCGATGCCGTGTCACTTGCCCAGTTTCACGAGGGGGCGACGCTTGAGTCCAGAAGAATAAGCAACCGCCGACCCACATGTTCGAGTCCCAAAAGCCGCGCAAACAAAGTCGGTGTTGGCAGCGTCACTTGCACCACAGTTCTCTCCCTTACCAAGGTTTCAACGCAGCATGCTCGTGCAGCACAACAAACTGGGTGCTGCTGAGCGCCTCTCGTATGTGACGTCGCCGACCGGCCTTGCCAAGGCTGCCGACGACTACGGCATCGTCAAAACCCCCGTCGATGTCGAAGCCGGCGGTTTGCGCGACGGTGCCGCGCCCGTGTACACGTCGCCCGAGGTCCTCGCCTTACTCTTTCAGTACGCGGCCATTGGCGTCGTCTATGGTGGCATCTCTGGGATGAAGTACCCGATCCTCACCGGCTTCTTCCAGCTGCAAGGCAACGTCCTCAACTCGGCGACGGCGCTCATGAGCCTCGGGTGGTCGCTCAAGGTCTTCTTCGGTGTGCTCACCGACTGCTTTCCAATGTTTGGATACCACCGCAAGCCGTACATCCTTCTCGGCTGGAGCCTCACATCCGTTCTTCTGGTCGTTGTGGCTCTCAAGCCCGCAGGCGAACCGGCGCCGGATGCTCACGCGACCTCGAACGGGTCGGTGCTCGCTCTGCTCTGCACGGTTGCGTGTTTTTGCTACATCCTCGCCAACGTCGCGCAGGACGCGCTGCTTGTCTCGTACGCCCAGCGCGAGCCAGTGGCGACGCGCGGTCGGCTCCAGTCGATGGTCTACTCGGTGCGCACCGTCTGCATGGCCATCATCACGGCGGTCTCCGGTTTCTGCCTCAACTCGACGCGCATGACGGGCACATACGACTGGGACATTGGCGTCAACGGGTACTTCTGGATCTTGGCGGCCACTTCGATCCTCAACGTCCCGGTGGTCTGGTTTTGGGTCAAAGATGTTCAGTCGACGACGCGGGTGTCGGTCTCGAGCTACTTGGCGCGGTTTTGGACGCTTGCGCAGAAGCGCGTTGTGTGGCAAGTGATGCTTTTCAACTTTATGTTCTCGCTCTTTGCGTCGTACATCTCGACGACCGCGGCGCCGTACGTGGCGCTCTACTGGGCCAAGGTCGAGAACCTCAATGCGTCGCTCACGAGTATTCTCGGAAACCTCATTTTTGCGACGGTCCTCATGGTCACGGGCAAGTACGGCACGCACTGGAACTGGCGCTATGTGCTTGTGAGTACGACCCTCTGTGCCAACGCGATTGACGCCGTCGTGCAGTTCTGTACCATCTACAATGTTGTCCGCAACCAGTGGTTTTACCTCGGTGTGCCACTCACCGAGCAGCTGCCCGTTGGTATCGGCTTTGTCGTTAGTACCTTTGTGATTGTCGAGTTGGCCGAAGAAGGCAGCGAAGGCGTCATTTACGGGCTCCTTACCACCATCACCAACCTCCCGGGCGTCTTTGGCCCGATGATCACCAACGTGATTGACGCCAACTTCAGCGTCAGCAGCCGCGCGATCAAGAAGGACCTCCCCGAGACCCGAAACGAGGTCGCGTGGACGTATGTGATTGCGTATGCGTCCACTGTCATTGGCTGTCTCTGGGTCGTCCTGCTGCCGAGTCAAAAGGAAGCGGTCTTGGAGCTCAAGAAGCATGGTGGGAGCTACCCGACCGTCGCCGGATGCATCTTCTACGCCTTCTTCGTCATCCTCGCCACGTCCATCACGGGGACGATGACGTCGATGTTTGACTCGACCAACTGCCTCAAGCTTGCCGGTGGTCACGGCTGTCCGGACGATACGACGTCGCAGCTCTACTTGCTCGGCATCTTTATTCCTGCCGGTCTCGCATTGCTTGGTATTATGTACTTGAAGTGGGCGTGAGCCATCGTCGAACAATCGATTCTTGTTGGACGAGAGTACACACATCTACCCCTGATTTTATACCGATATTTGCTCTTACACATCCATGTTTGGTGTTTGGAAAATCTCATCTGAATCACAGACAACGGGAAAGGATGCAATTGCAACAGCCACACAGCCAACTTTCAAAAGTCGCGACAAAGGGCAGCGCAGAAACAGCCCTCGCCCTACAGTTTGCTTCGGAATCTCCGCAAAATCGGCCTCCCATTCATCACATAGCAGCGTCGGCAGAGCTGCCAGCACCGTCCTACCCTCCATCAGACCTGCACCCATTTGTCTGGTCCGCCAACTTGTGTCCTGCGCCTTATATTAGTGCTCACGAGTAGCTCAGCAACGTCTCAACGAGTGCTGGAACTGATGGCAAAGCGCACTTGTGAGTACAAGCTTGCGCTTGCCAGTCTCAATTCGCTGCCAACAGTTGTACATATATTTGTGGGTCTCGCTCGGTGCTACAGTACTGGTATCCACGGAGTTTGTTCGTTGACGCACTACCGGTGTAGTGGTAATAGCGATTAGGATGTTTTCTTTGCTGGAACAGTGGGCTTTGTTGGGTGACGTGGCGGACCGACAGGCGATCTTATCCAGCTGAGCGATGTTTCGCGAGTGTTGAGCTTTTGACCCGATTAGTTATTGCGTCGCTTCTCCAGCGCTGCAGTCATACTAGAGCCAGCGCCAACAAAGTCGAGCCGAATGGATGGTCGGTAGGAAGGGCAACGTGCAGCTGTTGCAGTCTCCCCTACCGTTATGGAGCATGATGGCTTCGATCATGAGCGCGCATCGCCGAAGCTTGCCTTGCATGTCATGCGACTCCCTGTTTTTACGGCGGGAATCGTTGAGGAACGTAGATGGTCCGCTCTGATCAGTTTCTCGGTTCCTCCCAGTTCTGATCAGCGCCTCTCACTTCTGATCAGACGTAGTGATAATACCAGCCCTTGTATGCAGTGAATGCATTTTGCTACATGTCGAGCTACTTGGACGACGGAACCTTTCCGAATTCACGATGGAGCCAAACAAGCAGCGCTGATCGATCAAGTTTGCTATACGATCGACGACCACTGCGTCGGGGTGGGCTTGTGACTGCACCTAGGTCGTGGGTGGCTCGACCTCGAAGTTGACGCCGCGCTTTCGCAGGACAAGTAGGAGCATCCACGAACTACCCGTCTCGGTGACTTTGGTCAAGTCTTCTCGGGCGCCTTCTGATCGAATGCAGGCGATTGTACGGCGGTACGTGCACGGGGACCTCCTGTCGCAGCCATTCGTACCCGACATGTGTTTGTAAGGTGAACGGCAACTTGTGCGTGATATGGCCTCAGAATCAACATCCCGCCACAGACGTGGCTCATCATGGACTCTTTACCCGAGCAATCCGTAAACATCTGTTTTTCTGTGGACATGTAACGCCTGAAATATCTCACTTTGGGGATCAGTCAACTAGGTTCGAGCACGCAGCACACATTTGAGCCAATGGACGTCGCGTATTTCTCCGTGTCACCTGACGGGCGCTTCAGTGACACCTTTTGTTGTCCACCACGTGCGACTGAAATGGTGCACGGTCATAGAGGCAAGGAACACGCTACACGTTCGGAGAGCGAGCCGCAGCTCAACCACGTCACGCGACCAGCGCTCCCAGTCTCACTTTTCGATTTGCGCCTGTCTGCTTACCACCAGCCATGGCGTTCTTGACCCACGAAGATATCAAGATCTCGTTCAACTTGTTCTGCGTCGTGTACGGCGTCGGTACGCTTGGCATGCCGGCCAACTACGCTCGCGCCGGCTACTACTGGGCCACCGGTGCGCTTGTGCTCATGGCGGCTATCAACCTCTACGCTACTGTCGCGCTTTCCAAGGTCATGCTGGCCGCGCCCAAGTACGTCAAGACGTACGGTGACATTGGCGAGTGGGTCTACGGTGGCTTTGGTCGCTTCATCACGACGCTCTCGCAGCTCCTCGTCTGCTGCTTGGACCCGATCGCGTTCCTCGTCCTCGGCGGGTCGCTTCTCGATGTGCTTTTTCCCAACACGTTTACGGCGACCGTCTGGATCATTCTCATGGCGCTCAGCCTTCTCCCGATTTGCATGATGCCGTCGCTCAAGGAGAGCGCGGGCACGGCAACGGCCGGTGCGCTCGGCACGCTCATCGCCGACGCTGTCGCGCTCTACGTGCTCCTCGACAACATGTCGGACATTCCCGACGGCCTCTCGGCGCCGACGCCAGCGATTACGTTTGACGGCGTCACGTCTGTCTTTGGCAACCTCTCGCTCGGGTACGCGGCCGGCGTCCTTATCCCGGCCCTTCAGCGCGAACACACGCAGCCCGAGCGCATGCCGCGCGTCATCCTCTTCACGCTCGGCGTCTGCACCGCGCTCTTCTTCATGGTGTCGCTCATCGGCGACCACAACGTCGGGTGCCAGATTCCCGGCAACCTCCTCTTCTCGATCGCGGGCACGAAGCTCGGGTTCACGGCGCCCCGGGGCGCGGTCGTGATTGCGTTCCTCATGATGCATCTGCACATCAGTGTCGCGTTTGCGATCGACCTCTTCCCGACGTTCTACATCTTTGAGCGCGTCCTCTTTGGCTTCCACAAGCAAAACTTTGCGCTCGAGACGGGCGACGCGCCGGCGTTCGTCGAGAACGAGACGCCCAAGGAGACCGCAGTCGTGTCCAAGGTCGACGCGCCCGTCGCCGTGTACGCGTCGTCGCGCGACTACCTCAAGGCGTGCACGATGCGCATTGTCCAGATCACGATCAGCACGATCGTTGCGATCATCTGGCAAAACCACTTTTTGGATTTGCTCGACTTTGTGGGCGCGTCGTCGGCCGCGCTGGGCTGCATGATCCTCCCGGTGTGGTTCCACCTCAAGGTCTTCTACAAGGACATGGGTCTCCTCGAGAAGGGCTGGAGCATCTTCATCATCATCTTCACCTCGGCGCTCGCGATCTACGTCTCGATCAGCACGGGCAAGAAGCTGTTTGCGCCGACGATCGCGGACCCGACGGTCCTCTTCCCGTACTGCCCGGCCGAGTTCCAGAAGATGGTGTACCTCAACACGACGTACTACGCCAAGCCGTAAGTAGTGTCGAGACTGAGTTGTAGCGTTGAAATTTGTCTAGAAATATATAGTGTTTGGCACGAGATGGTGTTCTTCAAATGTACTAACTAGACGCGCGAGTAGTCGTTTCACGGCAAAACGCCATGGGCAACCCTCCGGACGCCGACGCGCGGGTCGAGCCTGCCGAGGAGTCGCCGCTCGACACGGAGTTCCAGCTCATCTTTGTGCTCGAGCCCGACGGGTTCCGCCACCGCGTGCTCGCGGCCGCCACGTCGACGCTCAAGCAGCTCAAGGACCAAGTCACGACCGACCTCAAGCTCACGCCCGGCGCGCTCAAGATCCCCGAGCTCGACGATGGTGCCCACTGATCTACACGCGCGCGCTAATGCCGTGTAGCCTGCGCGGCCCACGGCTACGACGCCATGACGTTCACGTTGGCGCACGCCGGCCTCATTGCCAACAACGACCAAGAGATCCTCCTCCACGCGAGCGTCGTCCAGGTCAAGGTCGGCTCGAGCGAGTACAAGATGCCCGACGCTATCGACGTGTCTGTCTACAGCGGTACGCTCGCACCTGTCATCTTCGTCGTCTGGGTACTAGACGATGAACTAACTAGACGCTGGTCAGCTCCTCAACTCGTTTCCGGTCCAAATTTTGAAATTCACGGGCAAAAAACCGTATTTGGGCGGCTTTCGCCACAAGATTAGCGACCAAATCTTCCACCACGCGTCGGCGCAGGTACGACTGTCCGATCTACTAACTGGTAACTAAAACGACCTGCAGACAGTCGTGTCCAAGCAAAAGGTGCGCCTCGGGCCGCCGCGTTTCCACCGCGAGACGCAGACGCGCAAGTCGGTGACCAAGTCGGCGCAAACCCAGCGCGAGTCCGGCACGCAGATGGACCGGATCGACGTCGCGATCGACTCGTCCCTCGACCGCGAAGTCCTTCCCAAGCCGTACTTTAACGCCGAGCAGCTCGAGTGCCTCCGCATGGACTCGTGTCTCATTCTGCAGTGCCACTGGCGCGCGTACGACTCGTCGTCTTCCTACGGATGAGGTAGAGACGGCGGCTAGGTACCGCGCCCGCTGCTTCGTGCACGCGATCCGCGCCAAGAAGCTCGACATGTGCAACTCGGACGAGAAGTTTGCGAACGAAACCCGCGTCAGCTTGGCCGCGCGCCAGCGCAAGGAGATCGACCGGCGCATGCACCCGCAGTCCCACAGCGACTTTGAAGTGCTCTACAACGAGCTCGACAACTGGCGGCTCTTTGAGATCAGCAGCTTGGACGTCGGCTTATCGGGAGAGGCCCGCGCCGCCGCGATGGCCGCGATCCTCACGAAGGAGACCAAGCTCCTCCAGACCATCGACCGGCTCAAGATGTCGGCCAACGAGACGAACCGCAAGGCCCGCATCGAGTCGATGCTCACGGTGCTGAGCCGGCCCAAGCAGTGGCAGATGAGCGACGGCCAGATCAAGCCCGTCGAGACGCCGTTCACCGTAGATGGAGGATGAAGAGAGAGGTGATCATGGAGCGTGTAGATCCGCGCAAAGGAGCTCAGCGACCTCTACCACGGGCTCAAGCTGCCCTTGGCGACGGTGGACGAGCGCCTCGATGTGCTGCTCCACGTCAAGTGGACAGTCAAGGAGTTTGAGAGCGCGCTGACGCGGGAGCTCATCGAGCTCATCGACCGCGAGGCCGACATGCTCAACCGCGGGCGCAGCGTCAAGTCGCTCGAGGGGCTCCGGAAGCGGATAAGCAACCTCTTCCTCCAGTTCGTCGAGACGCCAGCGTACAACCCCGAGGCTGCGTCGCTCCAGCACGTGCTTGGCAACACGCCCGCCATGCCATGAGGAGCTGCTAGTAGCAGGATGTGTAATTACAAGTCTTATGCGAGCTCGGTGATCTCGGCATCCGTGCCCGCGTTCGGGTTCTGGATCACGATGAGCGCATACTCCTTGTCGGGCGCGATCATGATCTCGTGCTTCTTGGAGCGGATGCGGAGGAACGTCATGTCGTTCGTCGGGTCCAGCGTCCGGATCGTGCTCTTGGCCTTGGCCGCGAGCTGCGAGATCAAGGCCGCGTGGTCGATCGCAAACTCCTCGTCGCTCGTGCTCGAGTAGATCGGGACGCCGTCGTTGTTGACGATGAGGACGGCCTGGACGCCCTTGTGGCTCTTGATGCGCTTGATCGTCTCCTCTGCCTCGTACCCAGACTACAGGAGGAAGCGCATGAGGCCGACCGCTTCCGCGCGTCCAATATGCACCGACCATCGTCGTCGTCGTCGCCGTCTTTCCGAGATTTGGCCAAGTCGCGCATACAAACACCAAGAGAGAGAATTGTCGAACATCGAGAGAAAATCCGGATCTGTCCTTGTTTCGAAACTTGAAAATAGGATTATCGGGCGTTTCGTGTGAGAAAAGGTTATCAGTCCTTGTATAGTCGACGCTACCGACTAACTAAGGATCAAAATGATCATCTACAGCTCCGTCTTCTCGTCCTTGGCAGCGTCCAAAACTACTTTCCTCTTCTTCCGGTCTTTCTTCTCCTGCATGCGGTCTTGGAGGCGCTCAATGTTGCTCTGACCGGCCTTGACGATCTCGTGCGTCAAGCCATACTCGCGGACCGCAATGCGCTGCGCCGTCTCGAGGTAGTCGAGCGCCACGTCTTCCTCGCCCTTGTGCGTGTAAATCTACGGCCACGTCCATGGTCCACGTCTTGTACTTCATGAGCGCCTTACCCCCGCGAGCACGTTCTGGCTGAAGGCGTAGCCCATCGAGTTCTCGCCGTCGCGGACGCGCATGATGTGCTCGGCGCGCTCGCCGTACTGGATCGCTTCGTCGAGCTTGTCGACGCGCAGGAGGCTGCTGGCGAGACCCATAAAGATCTCGCCGACGCCAGGTTCGCCCATGATCTCCCCCGAGCTAGCACGACGAGGATGCCATGAAGAACGCTAGGATGTATCAAGTACCTTTCGGGCGTCGGGAGGTCGAGCTGCTTGAGGATGGTCTTGTAGACTTTGACTGCCTTCTTGAACTTGCCAAGCTTCTGGAAGGACTCGCCCATGCGGCGCGAGGCGTCGATGCAGGCGGCGTGCTGCTGGCCGAGGCCTTGCTGCGCGTGGAACTTGAGCGTCTTGTAGCTCGAAATTGCTTCATCGTACTTGTCGAGCGCCATGTAGACTTCAGCGAGGTTGCGCAGCGCGAGCGAGTACGACGGGTGCGAGTCGCCAAGGACCTTCAAGTTGAGGTCCACCGACTGCTTCAGGACGCGCTCCGCGTCTTCATAGCGCTGGTCCAGCGCCAAGACGTTTCCGAGCTCGTTGAGCGTCTGCCCCAGAAGCGCTGCGTCGGCCGTCCGCTTCTTGGCGTCGGTGCGAGACTCGTGGAGGTCCCGGAGCGACCGGATGGCCTTGTCGAGCTTCTGCACCGACTGCCCGTAGGCGCGCTTGTCCTTGAGCTTGAGCGCTTCGTTGCGCAGGACGCGGATCTTGGAGAGCGCGGGGTCGTCCTCCTTGGGCGGCGGGTCGGCGACGACGGCCAGCGCCATGGCGAAGACGACAAGAAGGAGGTGGAGGAATCGCATGCCAGTCCAGGAATGACCACGCGGAGCTTTCTCCCGCGAGGCTGCGTATCCGGCATCCGGAAGCTAAATGCGGCATCCGCCACAAATAAACTCATGAGCAAGAGAGCTGCCCATACACAGCTTGCTTGCGATGGGCTTTCTACTCTCTAGTACAAGAGCGTTAGCGGTAGCTGGGTCGTCGAAGCACGCAGCAACGGACCCTAGCGGAGTAGATAACCAAGTCTTCCACTCTGTAAACTGATCGTATACGTGGCACCCCAGAATTGCGACATCTCACAGAGAAGTTGGCAACCGAGCTCGATGGATGCTTAGCGTTGGCCACTACAACGTCTCGCAGTGGGTCTCAAAGGTCATGGCGTCTATTAGTCGGTACGATCAAGCAACATAGTAGCTAGTGAACATCGTCGATTGATATATGTTAAAAGTGGCACAAGGCGTCTTGGCGCTCGTAGTACATCTCGAAGAGCGTGTAAAAGAGCGGGTGCCACTCGGGCCTGCGCACCATGGCGTGCCGGTTCATGCGCCACGGCTTGCCATACCCGCCGTTGTCCATCATCGAGTAGTGGTGCACGTACGTCTTGTTGATGCGCTCGTCAACCGAGGCAAAGCCAAGCATCTTGTCCCTGTTGTTGACCTCCGAGTTGAGGCATACGTAGTGGCTCGGGAGCATGCCGTACTCGTTCTTGAAGGCTACGTTGAGCGCGTCCATGTCGTACATTTCCTTGCCCGGGTTCTCGGCCACCGTCTTCTCGAGACGGCGAAAGAGAGCATTCGAGGGCGTGAGCACGAGCAGCGTCGACGCAATGAACGGCTGGTCGAGCCAGTACGCTCGTGGCGCCCAAAACACCGCCTCGCCGAGGTAGAATAAATGGTCCAAATTGCGCTGGAGCCACGCGTCCGAGTCGAGGTAGATGACCCGATCGTAGCCGTGCTCTTCAAAGATGCGCAGCTTCGTGAGCGACTCGACCCAAGTGTCGTGGGGCGCACTGGGCTGACGCCACGATGCGACGGGGATGACGACGAGCCCGCCGGCAGTGAGGGCGTCGTGGATGTTTTGGGAGATCGACCCCGTAACGAGGACGGCGACGTCGACAGACGCCGGCGTACCGAGACGCCGAATGCTGTCGGCCATGATGAGTGCGCTGCACGCAGTAATCGAGTTGGTCGCGTAGAGCATGTAGGCGAGTTTGCCCGGTGTTGGCGGGGGCGTGAGTGCAAGTACCTCTGTCGTTGGCACGTCGGGCTCCACCGGCTGCG